TTACAAGATAAGTTGACTAGCTTGCTTACTACAATGTTTATAGTGTTTATGACCTGCACCCGCGGATGATGTATGACTTGCAGTTTTTACCATAGTCATACATCATCTTCCATTTTTAGCAACAGCCTTCACATCTAATTTTCAGCACAAAATTAAGTTATTTGTCAAAAAATATATGGTGAACAGTGGGGGGTAAACAACATTGTCATGACTCAGAAAACATAAAATATCCTAAAAATGCCAAAATACGCTAGAGGGGAGGTTACAGTGTGTTTTGGCTGTGTTTTGAATCAATCAGACTTTACAGCACTCCACCCCCGACTAGTGTTTTGGAGACGTAACTGCAAAACAACATAAATACACCACCATACAAGTATATTATGTATTATCGGTACATCCTCATGTTGGCATGTTGTGACCAGTTATATGTCTTTACCGTCAGTGGGAAAAATTGTTTCACACATACACGACCTGTATGAATCAGAGATAGCAGCTCAACTGAACTGAAAAGTGCAAACGCTGTTGCGTCAACCAAGGAATCGTTGTACATCAGTGAATATTCAAAAAATTATTTCTGAGTAACAGCACTTTCTCAGTGTGGCACACTGTGTTTCACAGGATAAGCACTTTGAAACTGTCTCCTATCTCTCAGTCATGATTTTAAGACCACACTGCTGTTGCAGTCCAGCACACCATTGAGAGAAATAAATCTAAAAGTCACTATCATAAAGTCAATTTCTTTACCTTTATTTGATTCCCAATCAAGACTGATTGATTGATTGATTGATTGATTGAGATGTTTATTTCGAATACGATGCAATAATAAAAGGAAAATAATAATAAACAATATGAAAAAGAAAGAAAGAAGAAAAAATAAATAAATAAAATAAAATAAAATTTAAAAACATATTGAATCCAATAAGTAACATAAATCAAACAATATGCATATCCGAAAAGGAGTGAGAAGAAGTAAAACTTATTTACTCCCACCCCTTCTCCCTAACATAA